CCCCAAAACCCCAAAACCCCAAAACCCCTTGATGCTAATTCAATAACTTGATATAAAAGTAATAAAATTATAATTAACTATTTCTAATGGAAATTACTGGTCTAAAAATTGATCACGGCTCACAGTATCATAATACTAATCAGAGCAGAAATTAGATGACTTCTCCGAATTAATCTATAATTCACTAGGATTTAGTTTCACAATCATCAAAATCAAGCAATTACAACTAGATGATAGGATTAAGTAAAAAGAAAAAACTAGCATAGAATGCAATCATGAGTAAGAAAAAATTAATCTTTGAGCGATTTTCATAGACAAGACATTTTAAGCTGAGTCAACTAAAAATAAAAGTGGATTGATGGAGAATCTAAATTATTATCAATTCGATGGAAATGGAACGACTGGCTCTATTTAAAATCGTAATTACATAAAATTCATAGATAAAGTTAGACTTACTCATCAGAGGGAAAAGTTCTCAAGGCAATCATGAACAGTTATAAATTTGTAAATCTAAATAAAAATGCTTCAGATCCATTTACAAAGACAAGTAATTAACTGTTCTTTAAATTCATTTAACACAAAATAGATTATGCTAGAAACATTATATAGATATGATATCAACAAAAATTAGAAGGGAATTCAAATTGGTATACAGAGATCCTGAGTCCAATTACTCTGCACTTGATTTTACTGGAACAGGAAAAATTTCTATTAGAACATTTTTAGATAACGTCATAGTTAAGAGACTTAAGCTAGATGAAGAGGATATCATTAAATGGTTGATTAGGGATAAAATATTTCCTGATAGAAACTCAGAGATTGACTTTCAATAGCTAAAGATTAAATTCTTTCCAGAGTATTACTTAATAGAGGATGTTAATGAGTATGAGATCAATGACCATAAAAAAGAAGATTAGATCCTATTTTAAGACGCTTGTGATAAAAATATAACTCATCATTATGAAAATTCTCAAGGGGATAAGAAAAAAATTGTGGTTTAGAGGTTATAAGACCTAGAATTGCAACTAAAACATAGATTTTAGCATAATTGGGAATCAGTTAGAAGGGCCTTTCTTGACTTAGATTATGACCATGATGGCTTTATTACTTCCTAGGACATCATTAGGTACTTTGGGCAAGGGAGCAAAGATATTGATTTCAATGACCTTACAAAACTCATGAAGGATAAAGACTCTAAAAAGAAAGGATATTTGAGCTATGCAGATTTCTCATCATGGATGGGTGTTGTAATCCATTAAAGCGAAGGTTTTTATTTTAGACATGATTCTATAAAAAATCCTCCTTTCGAAGGTCATTAATAAGTCAAGCAAGAGAAGCTCAAAACTAAATCAGGAATCTTGAGTTTAGATGTGGAGAAGACTGTTATAGATAAAATACGTTTCTAATGGAAGACTCTTAAAAAGGCTTTCATAGATTTGAATAAGGAAAAAACTGGCTCTATAATGCCTATGGAACTTAAAAATTATCTTAAGCACTGGGGAATATACTTAAACGAGGAATAATTCAAGCTACTATTTGATAAATTTGACTCAGACAAAGATGGAAAAATTACTTATGAAGATTTTTAAAATACAGTTGGAAATGAAATTAACCCTCCTGAACATTTGTATTTCAGGCAAGATATGCGAAGAATACCAAGACCAGTAGCATGTAAAAATGAAGATTGTCTTTAACCACCTACTGCAGTATCGGAGTATTGTCAAATGCACATAAAAATGATGTAAAATAAGAGTATTAAGATTATTCAAAGGATAAGAACCCAGCTTGGTATTAAGTGGCCTTAGTTATTGAATAATATCCAGAGGTAGGCTGATAAAGATGATGAAAACTTGATATATCTTGATAAGTTTGTTGACATTTTATAGAGAATATATTAAATTGAGCTCTCACAAGAAGATTAAAACTTGATATTAAATGGTTTTATAGCTAAGTCAATCGAAAAACAGCCTAAAATTAACATTAGTCATATTTTATAGCTGTAAAACACTAGTAAAATAAAAAAGCTTTATAAATAAATTGATTTAAATGAGGAGGAACAGGAAGATGCCTAGTTTGTTGATATGTCTGGCTATTTTGGAAAGTTTTATAGATAAAACGTAAAGTTAAATTAAATAACTATCGACGAATTTGTTAATGTTATTGTGAAAGATAATAAACTGGCTTCAATAATGAGATGTATAAAATAAATTGACAAGGATAATAATGGATATGTAACTAATTAAGAACTTGATGATATTTTAAAATATATATACCCGGAATAATTTGGAGATAAGGATCTTAAGAGACTTTTTAGAACATTCTCAAGTATTTAAAATACTATTTTGATTGATTACAAAAAATTAAGAGACTTCCTCTTACAAAAGATTAATGAGTCTAAATAGAAATTATATCCTGACCATATTCATCACGAGAAATCTAATGATAAGGAGAAAAGTTTTGATAAAAAAGAGTTAAATTACATTAATTATGTGCTAGATAAACAGTAAAGGTTTTTGATTTCATAAGAACCGCTATATAAAAAATCTATGAAATTGAATCTTTTTGCAAACAAAACTTTTAATCCAAATTAGAGTCAGAGTTCAGAGTTAAATAAAGATTAAATATCTATTAAGTATGTTCATAGTCTGTTTGATTAGAAGAAAACTGAAGACTAAGTTAAGAATACAATCCAAGCATAGTCAAAGATCTAACCAGCTCTAATTGGAAATAGAGATTGAGTGAGAGAGATGATTAAAAAAGAATTATATAATTAATCCCTGCTTAATTAGATATAAGGAAATGCTAAATAATATATCAGAGCTTAAACTCCTATGAGAGATAACTATTCCATAATTTAGGAACGAATAAGACTCAATAAGACCTAAGTATATGACACGATATAAAATTTAGCTAGCACCAATAGTTTATAATAGAAACAATAATAAATAGATAATATTTACTTCCCATAGAAAGCAATGACCTCTAAGAATGGCAAAAAATAGAATGAATTAAGTATATATAAAAAAGATACATTAAGATCTGATTTACATGGATAAGATCTTAATTGGTAAAATTAACAAAATAATAATATAGATGAACCATTCTATCGATCGACCATTACTAGGCCATAGACTTAATAGAATTTTTCTAATAATCGAAAGAATATGTAAAGATCTTAATCTACTTAAAAAGGCTACTCAAATGATTTACTCTAAACAATTCAAGAAAAAATAAAAGAGTTTAACCTTTCCTCTTAGCCAACAATAGATTAATCTTAAAGTAATAAAATACTAAAAAATAGATAGACAAATGAATCCAAGATATTGATTGATAGTAGTATAATTAAAAACCTTCATTCAATAGATAGATTCGGAGAAACAACTTTTAGTTAAAGCTCATTAAGTCGCAAAAACTCTACTGTCAGCGAACTTAGGAGGAGGTTACTAGAGAAGAGATCTCAAAATAAAAGCATTAAAGGCGATTCCTCAAATACCCCCATGATAAATAGATATGAAGCTGGAAATAATATGGTTATTTTTAACCATTAATATGATAGCAGCAGAAATATTGATGAATAAAAAAGCTTGATTTATAAAAATGCTTACTCTAATTTACACAAAAAGGGAAATAAATCGATGTAGTAGACTCATAATGATTAGGAAAGTATGATCTAAATGAGCACGATTTCATCTCAAAAGGAAGCAAATTTAGTGAATAGTAATTTTTAATTTATTAACTTTAATAGATTAGAACATAAAATCAAAGTTAGCTTATGAATGGAAAAATATTTATAGAAACTTAAGCCAAGAGGATAGAAATGCAACAGGTGATGGAAAAATTTCGATTAAATCCTTTTAAAAAGCTCTAAATCAAAATAAAGTCAGTCTATCTAAATATGAGATATCTAAGCTAGTCAAATAGTTTGGAGTCTCTGAAAGCCAATCAACTACCAATAAAAAGTTATAAGATAATCAAATCATTAATTATACCAACATTTCCAAACAAATGGGCCTTCATAATAATACACTTGAGTTAATTAGACCTACAACCACTCAATCATCATTCAAATGATGTTTTATTCTTAACTCTAATATTAATTTCATTAAAATTCCAATGTCATTAAAATAGGTAAATGGGGTTTTGGGGTTTTGGGGTTTTGGGG